TTTTCCAAAAAATATATTATGTACAGATTGACTCAGAATTTTATTATACGTATAGGTAAAAGTAATACATTAAATTTCACAATATTGATCATAAGGAACTTATTTAATGTGTCATCCTATCCATTAAGTAGTACAAATAATATTTTATTTTTTATTTTCAGCTCTTTTATTTTCAGCTGACGCCGACAAAAGCTGACAAAGTAAAACTGAAGTGAGAGTAACGCAGCAAGTAGGCATTAAAATTATAATCACATCCAAATTAAATTTAAACAAGTTGAGGAAATATTCATGAGGTCGGCGCGAGGTTGCCGCGATCACATGCTCGACGGGAGATGAGTTCCGAAACCCCGGAATTCATTATCGCCATAATTAATTTTTAAAATTCAATTAGCAAAGTTTTAATGGTAATATTCCCCCAAATCGAAAGACAGCTGATGAGAGATTTGAAACAAACTTGTTGGAGAATAATTTATGAAAGCAATCATCTTTGAATCTTAAAATTACTTAACTTAGGACTTATTATTCCATTACTTGCGACTTACCCCCGTTTCGTTCGGGTGTGTCCCTACGTACGATTTTATTTTATTGAATAGAACACTAATTATTTTTCTCAACCAAAAGTAACTTAGGCTAAGTTACTCCTTATAACATCAGCTATCTGCCAGTGAAAATCCCGTCAAAATCAGTCCAACCGTTTCGGAGATTAGCCGGAACAAACAAACAGACAGACACAATATTTTTAAAAATTGAGGTTTTCTTATATGTACCGCATATAATTTTATATGCATTTAGTAAAAAGCTGTTATTTTGAAATTACAAACAGACACTTCAATTTTATATATGTATATAAATTATATGCCTATTACATAATTAAAATCATATGAAAATGATGAGCATATAATATGCTATGAAAAGTATTAAAGTTACATCATAAAATGTTTTACAATTTATACATACAATAAAACTGTAGTGGTCGAATGTCTGTACATAGAAAAAAAATGCTAAAAACAGAGTCAGGGGGATGTAAGAAGAGAAATAAAACAAATCTTTTTTTTTCAATTTTTTTGTTTCTCTGTCTGTTTGTCTGTTTGTACGGGCTAATCTTGGAGACCTTTGGACTAATTTACATAAAATTTATATTTATTTATTTAATCCTTATATCTCCGGTCAACATCTTAGATACTTTCATCCCGGAAAATTAAAAAGTTCCCGTGGGATAGTTAAAAAACTATATTAACTTATACAGCTTAGTACACAAAAACTACAGATTGGATTTTAATGAAACTTTACAATAATATAGTTCATACATAAGAATAACATAGGCTACTTTTTATCGCGGATAAATGTACGATTCCCGTGGGATAGATATGGTTTTGTTTGTCTAGAGGCGAACCCGAGCGAAGCGAGGGTAAGCCGTTAGTAGTGAAATAAAAGTATATTAAAAATAAGAGATTTAAATCACAACAATTTGTTTAAACTGAAAATTCCAGTGACATATAATAGAAAAATCGCGACACAAGGATACTTTAAATATTTAAAAAGCCCGCGTTCTTGAGTACACTAGCAGCTCTGAATATTTCAAATGTCGTACAGCCTTCAATCAAGAATCTTCCCTTGAGGGGTTTTATAAGTCACCAAAGGAAAAGAAAGCTCTTTCTTTTACATCTCTAATGTATACGGAAATGTCTATTTCGAGAAAAGCAAAAACGACAAAGTCCTCCTCGAAATTTTTTTTCTAAATTGTACATCGGAATGAATATGAAATATATTTCCTTCCTCATAAAGCATAAAGTTCAAGGAAAATTACTAGGCCTTTAAAAAATATATAAAATGCCGTTAAAAATATAACAGATTCGTATTAATGAATCTCGTTTTCAAGAGATTGGACCTTTAAAATATTTAGGTTTTCGTATGTTTTTGAAATACATACATAAAAGACTAATTAACGTCAAACACAAATTTATTTTCAGCCCATGTTTTCATTTAAATAAGACTAAGACGTAAATGTCTGCCAACCCGCACTCGACCTGCGTGGTGGACTATGGCATGATCCCCTTCATACTGAAGGATAGCCCGCGTGCCCAGCAGTAGGATGTTAAAGGGCTAAGGGAGACACAAGAAGAGAAGACAAGACGAAAATGTCTCTCCTAGTCAAGACATTTACATATTTTGAGATTCGTAACAGCAACAATCGGCGCAAAAGGCTCAACAACGCGCAGTCAAATAGCAATAGTACTTTGACTTATTCATATATAAATAGCTGCTTTTAAACCCCGCAATATTTCGAGTTGAAGCTTTAAGCATCCTCTTTGCTTCCTTACACTTTATAATAAACCCTTTCCGCGCCATTTAAAGACTGACAGCGTACAATGCTCCATGATAATCTGTCTGACGAATATATTTTTCCATTATGAACTTTAAAATGAGAGTATTAAGAGCGAGAATATATGATGTATGTGAGAGGGTTGGTGTTTTGTTCGTCGTATGCAATCTCCCACAAAGATGACAACGCGGAAGGAACGTCGTCAGGGAAGTTGGTTTCCGTGGATCAGTAATTACGCGTGGCTTGCGGTGGGGGCGGCAGGCTTGGCGGCTAAAATGACTCTGGCATACATAATGATACATCCTGTATACTTTTGTATACACTCAACTCGTGGTCTGTCGTCTTTATATTTGGAAAAAGTTGCAAGTAAGCACTTTGTGTTGTTAGACGGATAAGTTTTCATTAACTATTCAATATTCAGACAACTTGTTTATTAAATAAAGTATAAAACATAATCTATACATATAATAAAATTCTGAGTTGAATCTGTACATAAAATATTTTTTTGGAAAATCTTATTGGAATAGTCGTTATTATCGATACAGAGGCCGAATCTATAGTTTTTAGAATTGTGCCTGTGACCGCATCAAGAGAAAACCATTAGACAGATTTTGATGAAATTTGGTATGATGATAGCTGGATATATAGGTCAACATATAGGATACATTTTACTGCGGAAAAATACCTCATCTCTGAGAAATATATACTAAACGTTAAAACGTAAAAGTGAAGTATATAAACTAAGATCTCAGGCCGTATATTTAGTATAATAAAATCTAATAATTGTAAGAAACAAGTATGTACTTTCATATCATATTGCTTGCTTTAGAAACCGTTCCCTTACATAAAGTATAACTTTATAATATTGAGCAAAGCCTTTTATGTGTTCACCGACGAAGTGTAATGTAAGTCGACAACATTTTCAAAACTCATTCGAAGAGACATATTAAAATTGTTCACGACTTGAAATTAATTTTACCTAACCCAAACATTTCTTAATGAATTCTGTTTCTTAGTGCCAGAATTATTTATTGAGCTCCGAAATCTCTGGAATCCCCTCTTTTGTACTCAAACTTGTACGGCGGCAGTAACGCAGTAGATAACTTTTGTGAAAGCGTTGTTTCGCCGAGTCCAAGTGTTTCTAACAAATGGCAGTCTAAAACTCGTTCTTGGTGTAACAAATTAGTTTAAAAGTGTTCGACATTCACGGTTCATCTCAGCGAACAACAGTCGACGTGAGACACGACACACGTTCGGAAACTTCGCGATGCTGTTTAAAATCATTTCCACGATGTATTATTTATGAAATACATATGTCAAAGTCTTGGCCTTTAAAAGAATTCGATATCAAATTTTAAATCATGTAACATATAAAATTTCAAGAATTATATTTTTTTACTGGTTTTGCCCGTAGCTCCGCCCGCGTTCAGATGACCAAAAACTAAATTCTTAAGTTTTACATATAAGTATACTCTTACATTGCAGTTTTTGTATTTTTTTCTCAGAAAAGAGACATTTTCCTGCGGTAAAAAGTATCCTATATGTTGACCCGGATAACCAGCTATCATCATACCAAATTTCATCAAAATCCCTCGAGTGGTTTGTCTGTGATGCGGTAACAGACAGACGAACAGACAATAACTCTAAAAACTATAGATGCGGACTCTGTATCGATAATAATGTCTATTTCAATAAGATTTTCTAAAAAATATTTAATGTACAGATTCGGCTTAGTTAGAATTTTATTATATGTATAGATGGGAAGCGTGTAAAAGAGCCTTTATACTGACCGATGCAAAATAACAAAACAATTTTCGTACAATTGTCGCGCTCCGGTCGGATTAACTTCAAAGAAGTCTTTGTTTCTTTAGCGGTCCATTGTTGTTTTTAATGCGCCTCAGAATGGTGATTTATTTATCTTAAGACTTAATTACGAAAGCACTCTCGCTTGTACAAAATCTTTGCAATCTAGACAAGATAGATCCTAAGTAGCTACATTAAAGCAGGCGATTGATGGCCTGTAGTTGGGCTGGAGATTTATTTAAAACTGTCAGTAACGGTCTAAACATTGACATAAACAACTTAATATACGAGTATTTGCAAGTTTACAGGAACTTTCGTAGTTCATGTAATATTCCTTCTAGCAATATAAAAATCTCTGTATAAAACAAAGCCTTAGAATTTATAACACATACATACATACATATTTGTATATTTTGTATTATTAAATCTATTAAAATTAGGTAAGACCTTTTTTACTCAGACCATATATATATATATACTCGTACATATTATCGTGAGAATAACTCACTCGTTAAATATTTATAAAATTATAAAACTAGTTTGTTAGTTGATGAGCGGACTTGGAAGTTCACTTTCGTGCAGTTAAAATATTATATACCAATTAACAGTTCTTATGCTACGCATGCGTAGGATGCCCAATTAATGTACCAGGAACCCACGAGATTAGTGGAGTTATATCATAGTAGTTTCGTGTACCTGTTAGAGCTTTTTAAAGTTCGATCCACATTGTTAAGCTTTTCAATACGTTAACAATTCAGTGAAATAGCAAACAAAAGTTAACTTTTTCACATTGTTTTCATAAAGAAAAATATTTTTATCTGTATTGAAAACGTATTGAAAGCGTGGACCGTGTGTCTGTAATACACTGTCTTACATCGTGAATATTTTGCGTTGGATCGTGTGAAAGATCGCCATATTTGTCCACTCGTATTTCGGTAGCCGGTAGCGGGACACGCACTTCGCCGTCGAATCGAAACTGACCCTGGCACCACACAAAACACAAATACTATATGGTGTTATGAACAAGTCGCGTGTCTAGTGCTTGGCAAATATTAGTTCGTTAAAGGATTGATTTCATTATTGAACAATTTTACAATATTGGCTTAGTAATAATAAGTGGAGATCGATTTAGTTAATCGTTATATTAGCTGTTCATCTTTTAAGTTATACAAAAATTATTAAAAAAAATGGATTTTCAGTAGTATAGTGGTTATAAGATAAATACGTGACCCTTACTTACAATATTACGTAGCCTTAAAATATATAGATATGAAACATTTTGTTCATGATTTTTTCTATGATTTGAAATATTTCTTTAAGACTTCAGAATCAAAACTTCAACGAACTAACATTTTCCACTACAACAACACAAAAAAGCTAGATATGTAAACCAAAATCATAGGGCGGGCGGCGCGACATGCTTACACGCTTGCATGCTTCAATATCTACGATCAGCGAGGCATGAGCCGCGGCAACTTCGCGAGCCTCGTCGGCCATACGCCTGCCGCGCGGCGTTGCATCCTCCTTTACTACTACTTCTTCACTGGAACCCTTATCTTCTTGCGAAGCGGGTTCAGGGGGTTTGGGATCGGACTCGGTATCGATGGGTTCAAGGTTTCGGGGCTCTAGGGATTCGAGGGGTTCGATTTGGGGAGCAGCGTCAAGCTTGGGAGCTGTCTCGCTCACCCGTTTGTGGTTCTCCGGTAAACTGATGTTGCATTCGTTGTCGAAACGGAATTGACTCTGTCCATGGTTAGCGGGAAACAAATTCAAAAACACATTCAGGTAATTGTTAAAATTATTCATATATTTTCATTTCTGTCACTCATTACAGTGAAAGTATATTAAATAAGCAAATGTTGTTCTCTTAAACAAAAATAATTAATATTTATTTAATTGAGAATAAATAAACTATAGTTTTAATTTTGAAAATATCAGAAACAAACATTTAAAAAGTAGGTTTGAAATTCATTAATATATCAAAAGTTACCTTATAACCAGGTCCAAGTCTGTGCATGGCGCATATCTGGTGGGTGGTGAGGGCTTCTCCGAACAAGTATATGGCGGCCATCTGCCCGCAGAACACCCTCTCCTCATCGAGCTCCGCCGTCGCACCGATGTAGCATTTGTCAAACGGCTACAATAAATAAGAGGAAATATTAGAATATCAGGAAAAAACAGCTTTATCACACTATATGTAATTAATGTCGCAGCATCAATTTCAGGAATGGATAAATGTTTGCATTAAATCTCTATTTAACTCAATTCTTTAATTGAATCGTTTTAGGTATGCTTTGGAAATTGCCACCTTGCCTTATCTATTAATTTTAAAAAAAAACTTTGAAATATTAGCGTGGTATCAAAAGAAATGCAAATTGTCGAACCCTATACTATATAAAAAGAAGTAAGAATTAAAGTTATTAAAACAGTACTTTAAAAATACAGATTAAAAAACACTAGTTATAAAAAAAAACCGTTAAAAAGTTTCATTATTTCATTATAAAAAAAATGCAAGTCAAAAAGAAAATAGGTCATATTTTATATTAAAACTTCTACCCTGGAAAATTCGAAGTATGAGTTGTTTTTCCTTGTCATAAAATGTAAGTCCTCTTAAGTAATGTCCTCAAGACAAAGTATAAAGTAAACGAGCTCCTCTTTAATGAGAGATTAGCGTGTAACACTGCGACGAAGAAATACACTAAACAAGAAAGAAATAAAGTTTGCGATATTTACAACTTTTCATTTTTATTTTAATATTCAACGTAGAAGAATTTGCAGCTTAATATTTCAGTTTGTTAGTTTCTTAGAAGCCTGTCAAATTTATACATATATATAATAGAATTGTAACTAAGCCGAATCTGTACATTAAATATTTTTTGGAAAATCTAATTGAAATAGACATTATTATCGATACAGAGGCTGAATCTATAGTTTTTAGAATTTTTGTCTGTCTGTCTGTCTGTCTGTTACCGCATCACGGAAAAACCACTGGAGGGATTTTGATGAAATTTGGTATGATGATAGCTGGTTATCCGGGTCAACATATAGGATACTTTTTACCGCGGGAAAATGTCTCATTTCTGAGAAAAAAATACAAAAACTGCAATGTAAGAGTATACTCATATGTAAAACCTAAGAATTTGGTTTTTGGTCATCTGAACGCGGGCGGTGCTAGTGTTACATAAAAATGCAGTAAACTTGTTTTTTTTTCTAATATATTCAAAGAACAAGTACTTAAATATAATCACAGTGTATCAGAAAATGATACGATTTTTAAAAATAAATAAGTAGTATTTTAAACTAAGAAAAGAACGTAAAATAAAGAAATAATGTAAATTGTAATTGTCAATTGATATAAACAATATGAGACGAGTAGGTCAATATAAAGATATATATGTATATTATTATACCTGAATATAATAAGTTTTCATTTAATTTTCCATTTTAAAACAACATAATTATAAATAAACTAATGGCTTACCCTTGCATCGCTTGGGTGCGCCTATAGATGCCTTTTGTGTTTACAATATTACTCATATTCCCTTCACTTGATGACTCCATTACAAAATATTAACTTCTTTAAAATTATAATATATCAGAATAGCTCATCTTTATACATATGTGTCTCTAGCAGCAAAAATACGGGTCTTTCCTATAATGTAACAATATTCTTAATAAGACCGGCGCGGTCTTCAAGTTTATTTTCGCGACAAAAAACGACCCATGTAATTATCTAGGATCTATTTAGCAGTTGACGCGTGAAAAATAACAAATAAACAGACAACATTACTTATGCATTTCTCACATTAACATTGATGTGAAATTGAGAGAAAAATAACGGTAATTCAAACGCGAGAATCGTCTGTTAACTTCTGGTAAGTAACTTTAATTACAAAAGCAAATTATTAAAGGCACAAACAATGTATAAAGTAGCTGACTGTGTCATCAAGATGTTTAACGAAGTGAATAATGCAGAGAACGCAATAAGCGCGTCAAAGTGCCAACCGAGTTAGTGCAGGAAACTCCATTTTGAAGTACTAAAGGCGAAATATTATACAGTATAAATTAGATAGTTGCCCATTAATTTCTATTAAGATGTTAACGTCCTTATGAGAAGGAGATTTTATTTTATTTAGGGTTTATATATAATTAATTTATATTCAGCTTTTTAACGTCCCACTACTGGGTACTGGTCTTCCCTTTATGTAAGAGGGATCAGGCCATAGCCCACCCTGCGGGCCAAACGCAGGTTGGCGGACTTCACGTCTTTCGAAAACTTGCTAGGTTTTTCTGAAAGATGCGGGTTCCCTCATAACGTTTTCCTTCACCGAAACCGTAATTATGTTAAATTATGATTCGCGCATGAGAACATCAGCGGCGCGAGGCCAGAGATTTGAACGCGTGTTACCACTGGGTAACCACTGCCTTAGCGATTATATAGAATAAATAAAATTAAATAATAAAAATTACTCCTTTGAATGTATTTTATCACGCAAATCCTCTTCAGAGTTTGATTTTAATAACTATATTTATAAGACGCACGCCAGCGCTCAAACCGCCGTTTCTTACGGTAATGCCATGTAAATTCCTATTAACGACCAAGATTCACCAAGATTCTGTCTTTAGGGACCTCATTCAGGCCACGAGGGGAGATAATTTATTATGCTAAACAAAATCTCCACGATCTCTTCAACATAATTGCAGATTTTGCAAGATAAAGAAATCGATGGCACTAATGAGCTCCAAAGGACAATAGCGATTGTGTTGTGGTCGTATCCGAGATAGGTATATCTATCGAAAACTAGACACAGATAGTACTACAATCTAACATAATATTACTTTGCCATTAAGAAACTCAATATTCTCATATTTACATCGTCCCTATTTTAAATAACACTTTAATAGCATTACCGTTTTAGTGAATTTTAATTATTTTACTGCAAAACGTTACACAGGCGTGTAAAAAATTTAATACAGCGTACGTGTACGTGACCACGTCAAAACCGTTGAATATTCATACGCACGGATGCATCGCCTGTGTCAATAACGTATTGAAATTTACACTGTGAGGTAAACTTTGAAAAACCGAAAAGTAAAATAGTGATTTCTAGACCTCAATTAACCATGCTACAATTTTTTTTCGACTTATAGTGCATTGATACAAAAATAATAATTCACGGCTTAGCAATAACATAGCAGTGATAGGCCAGTGGGAAGTGTGTTCGTTTCAAAAGTCAAGTGTAGCGAGTTCAAGTCCGTCTCTTTAACTCTTTTAACACGATTACCACTTGCTAATACGTTGAACGAAAACATGAAGAAACCTGTATGCATGAGAGAACCAAAAAGGAAGAATCCATCAAACCGTATTAAGCCAGTGTGGAAAACTTCGACCTGATCCTTCTCACATTGAGGGCAGACCCGTGCCCAACAACGGAACGTTAAAAAGGGCTGAATCATAAACATTGCGCAGATGTTTTAATGTGTATTATTTATATTGAATATTAATACATATATTCCTATTTTACAACACAAATTTAAAATTTTACCGCAAAACAATGCAAGTAAGCAGTTAGACAAATACTTATATTGAGAGTATAAAAAATTGTCCCGAACGGGAATCGAAGCCGTGACCTCCGACGTTAAGTTCGTTCCTACACAACACCAGGCGTTACCACTACAATATCTTAAGTAACGACTCAGAATAACAAAAAAAAAACTGGAAGGAATTATGTATAATGTGCATGTGGTTGGTTAAAAGGGCAAATATTACTATCCCTTTCCAACTCCACTAAGCAACTTGAATAAAAACACAAAACGATTCACGTTCACGACGCTGCTAAGTAGTAAGGCCGCCCCTTACAAACTAAATAATTGATCGAGCAGATGGAGCTCCGTCTCGGTTATAATCGCCTGGTACTTCAAGAAAGTTTAAGGATAACTTATTCCTTCGAAGGAGTTTTTGTTCGATTCATTTTTCGTCTTGCATTTGAGATTAAGTTTTAAGGCAAAATACGTCTTTTATAACAATACTAGCGGACCCGAGATTACCTATAAACAATAGACGTAATATATCAGATACCATGAATAGAGTATATGCTTGAGTTAATTGCTCTATAAATCTACGAGTTATAAGCGATATTATTTTAAATTTGAATACAAGTACTTAAAACATTTTTTTTAAGATAAACTTCTTATTGGATTTATTTTATAAATTAATAAACAGAAACAGAAGAATTTATATAAAAAAGATAAGACGACTAATCGAGAGATAAGAGGTCTAAAACTTCTATTTTAAAACATAAATAGGTACACTGGCTTCAAAATCACTTATAAGTAATAATTCCACCCTTATTGACCTTGATATATTTTATGTTTCTTTTTGATGGAAATATGTGGAATTAATGTACATATATTGACTCATATGCGGGCTATCTGTAATATTATGTTTATGAATGTAACTTCGATATTTAAAAGAGCAATTGTTGAGTTTCTAGGCAGAACTGCTTTCCGAGCTGGTGGTAGCTTCCTCACTGACACTCTAACTTGACGATTCAAAAGTTCAAAGGTGCTTATAATAAGTCAGTCTATTTGAATAAAGATTTATTTGATTTCATTTCATACTTACATCATTTGTCGAAACGAACCACGCCATCTCCGTGCTCGACGCGAGCTGCCCGTTCACCAAACATTTGATCTCGCTCTTGGTCCATCTGTTGTATATGTACACCACAGCTATCGCATACCACCTAATTAACAATAACACAACTATAATTACTTATAACTAATTTTTACCTAGCTTTGTAATGATATAATATAGATTATAAGAATATACATATATATGTGTATATATATTATAATATGTATTGATAACATAATTATTAAGATATTCATTAAATGTGCAAGTTTTGTGTAAATAATGTTTTTGGGTACATTTTAGAAAGGTGCTATAAATAGGTGCATTTAATTTGATAGGATACATTATGCACTTACTAATATATTTTTTTAAGAAAATTAGTTAAGATGATAGATGAACAAACAGACACACGAGTAATACTTTAAGAGTTTTTTATTTATAAGAGATTACCGTACACGGTAGAGGAATTTGCATTTCTATTAATAAGGTCTAATTGTATATTATTTAGTTCTAATTCAAATTTACATCAACCTCAGTAAAATTACTTTATTTTTATTTATTTTTGTAAATAGTTAAAATCTCTCACCTCCTTGGTTGAAATTCATATTTGACGCAATGTTGGAATCCTTTGCCTCGAACTTTCATAGAGGTGAGGACGAGACAATTGCCAACAAAGTGAGCTGTGTAACCGACGCCTTTACTCGTTTTAAAGCTGTAACAATGAAAATATTATACACAAATTCTGTAACAGAATTCGCATTACGTACACATATAGTATAGTCGAAGCGGGTAAAGACTGTCTAATTATTACGTTTTTATAGTAACACGGTTTACACCTTCGAGCAAACGATCCACTTGATGGCAAGTGGCTATCGTCGCTCACAGACATCTGTAACATAAGAGTAGCTGAGAATGCGTTGCCGGCTTTTTAGGGACCTCAATATACGCCTTGAACAACCCCATATTGTAAAAACCTCAGAACGAAGACCGAGAAGATTTCACAAAGTTACTAGAAAAATTTTTATAACTTAATTCTAGAAACACAAATTTTATCGTAAATAAACAAAATATATATGTATTTGAACAAAGAAATTAACATATGAAAACAAAATGAAAATTTTAGTGATTTCAAAGCACGAATAATATGAGATAATTTTGTATATTCCCCCAATAGACTCTACAAATAACAATTTAATAGTCATTTGCTGAATTACATCATGATGAACATATTGCTACTATAATTTAAAGCGAATCGATTAATTTATGTAAAGTTGCATAACCGATCTGTTCGAGTAATATAAATGATAATAGAACGTTTAAAACTAAACTATATCATTTCACGAAATATATTTTTATCTTAAAACCTTGATTATAGTATAAAAGATTTTTGTGATAGCTCGGTCTTTCTTTAGAAAATCTTTAATTAGTGCGTCCTCTGTCTAGAGATTTTCTTAATAAGGAAAAATCTAAAGAAGTATTCAACTATGTTCGCGAAACCTGTAGTCATCTTTATTCGCATTTTACAAAGTTCCCGGTACGACTTGTATTAAAGTGATAGTTCATGAAAAATCTCGTGTCAGCAACACGAGCTTCTTAAAAAGCTGCTTCACAGTTAAAACACGTAGCTACGTTATTGCATGTCAAAAAAAGGAAAGGCAAAGTTTTTCTGTACTCCCTGAAATAAGTTTCCTCGAACCATTTTTTAGGGAACCGTAGTCAAAAGTCAAAGACACTTTTAATTTTATCATATTCGTCTGTCTGTCCGCTTCATCCATACACCATACCAGACTATTAGTACAAAATAACAAAGAATATAAAGAGATATCGCAAATGAGCTACTATATAATAATGACGTCCAAACAACATGGGATTATGTTTTTTGATGACGTATAGCGACGACCACTTATTAAGGAATTTGCCAAAACATACATAAATAACATTTAAAAAACTTTTATCACTTTAACTAGGAAAATATAAGAGACACTTTAAATAGCTATACACTCCAATTCCCAGTCCTTGTGTTGCAGTCATCACGAGATTCACCTCCTAATCTCAGTTGCAAAGTGAATTGGCCAGAGTTTGGATAGTATACGTATAGTTAATTAATGCCTGGACACCGTTGTATTAGGAACCGTCTAATACTACTGTCTACTGCGACTATTGGCTAGCTTGGGCGGATTTAAGATTTAATTAAAAGCAGATTATAGCAAGATTATATTTAGTTTCCAGAATACACGAAGTCGGTTTGAATAAACATCTCAGTCAATTTCCACGTATCTCAAGGTTTATTAACGTTATGCACGATTGTAGTGAAGTTATCAGAATTGATATAGGTCTTGTTGCATAATTTAGATACTTTCCTGTATCTAGGCTGTACATTACTCGTTTTCTGAGCCTACGAGTAAAAATAACTTAAAGGATCATATTTGCAATTGTTCTACAGATATTTAAAGTAAAGATGGAATATTTTAAAAGTTAGGGTTCATTAGCTGTAGTGGATATTAATCAAGACTAGCTCGCAACTCGCTGCTCGCTTGTGGGCTTCATAAGTGTTGAGTTCTCTAGCTAGTCTAAAACTTTGCCGCTTCATTTAGAGAAAGGAGTTTAATTTCATTAAAGCTTTTAATGGGTTTCCCTTTTAATATGTATAAAAAATTATTTACAACGTATAGATTTAATTACTAAAGAAATTATATTTCGACGACACGTTTGGTTCAGTTTTGTCCCTACTTGCTGTGCCAGCTGTCGCGAGTTCGAGTCCCGCTGGGGGCATTCATTTGTGTGAAGAGCTCGAACGTTCGTACTCCAGTCATGAGTGTTTATATTTATAATATGTATTTAAAGTTATATGTGTCACTAAACAATATCAACTATCTGGTATCCATAACACAGGTCTCATAGTTTACCATGGAACGTACTGTATGTTAATGTACCAGCATATTTTAATATTTTATTTTATACAAACTGGATGCCTACATATTTTTAGAAGACTAATAATATCCCATCCCTTCATACTCCTAACTATAATATCCCATCCCTTTATACTCTTAGACTAATATCCCACGGGAAACCATAGATATACTTTCTTGCACGTAAAACTATAAAAACACCTCAATATTACATATTATGCAAATTTACATTTTGACCAATAAAAGTTTATTTATTTAGTTAGTACTTTTATGGTATTTCTGTTATTTACAGTAAATACCTCTCTCATTATTTAGAAAATTAATTATTACATTTTATTAACGATTGTAATTTTTCGTTAATATTAAAACGAAATGGTAAAACGGCACATAATATGTCGTCGTTCATGGTACAAGTAACGGTGTTTACCCAAAAAATAAATGTTTTCAGTATCACAAAACCTCTTAAAATATATTTTTAAGTGAACTTATTAATAAATCATTTTTCATTCATCAGCATTATTTGAAAATAATCTTTAAGAAAAATATATATTGCATATTAATAAGTTTTGTAAAAGTGAAAAATATATGATATATAGAAAAAAAGCTTGATTTCTAAAAAATGAATTTAACTTTAAAGCATTTATTTATTTCCACCTCCATTATATTCGGACGTTTTTAAATATAAAATAATAATTGAGCTAAATTACTACCTACTAGAAACTAGACAGTAGAATTGAAATGGAAAGAAAGTGGTAGAATATCATTAGTCATGCTCGAGACCTAATTTTAAATTTTATTTGAAGTCCTGACGATGTTAATGAGTAGAATAATTCATTTTTTTTTAAATATTTTTATAGAATTATTAGCATAAATATAAAATATTTAATGAAAGCGTTAAATATTAACGTAAGTATTTTAATTTTTATAATTTCGCTACTTATCAATGTATCAGGCTTTGATGTTACTCTTAGCTTAAAAGCTCTCAAGTTATCAGCCATCTCAGTAAGGCGGGGAAGTCATCTCCTTAAAGGATATTGTGCCTTTATTATAACTGCATTTTAAATGAGTCTTGATTGTTACAAATAAAATATTATTCTACAGATAAAAATCAACACAAATAATGATATTTAATGTTTTGAGAATTTCAAGTGAATAATATGTTAAAAGTTCTGTTATTGGAAATTTTTACCATTTCTCATCATTTGATTGTGTAATTAAAACAAAAAAGAAGTGATTAATTACAGGAAATTGGAGGCTAGTTTGGAGCCTTACATATTATTACAAGTTAATGGAATGTACGCTAAATATGACACAAATTCGAAATTAAATTTATCCAATCAAACTTTTACGAGCACTTTTGAGAACTTGAGTTGAAAAACAGGAAAACTTTTCACAATTATCTCCCCGCTTAATTAATTTAGTGCAATAAAAGAAAAAAAAAGAAAATAGAATATATTTTTGTTTAATTAAATAATAAAGAAGTATACATACGTACGAGTTTTCTAAAAACCTACCAAATATTGGTTGGGCTTATGTGATTATTTTTCATGTAAGTATACATAAAATTAATCCTTCTGTCCGTCCCTCCATAATCCCCAGAATGACAACCGACAACAAACTGACAGTTAAAAGATGTAATATGTTGAATTGATTTAGTATGGGACATTACCACACAGCGATCTACATAGTTCCATGGAAAGATACAAACAAGGCTTACGTTATGGATACCAGATAATTGATACACTACACATATATAACTTTAAATACATACATATTATAAGTATAAATATCCATGACTGGAGTAAAAGCATTCGTGCTGATCACACAAATGAATGCCTGCAGCGGATCTCGAACCCGCGCCCGCTGGAACAGCAAGTAGGGTCACTACAAACTGAGCCAAACGTGGCGTCACAAGTCGTCAATCAAAAGTCACTTAGATTTTGTTCGAAAGAGGATTTGTCAAAAGTGGCCGAAATAAATATGCATGGATATGATAGTGGGCAGAAGTTTTTTGGCACAAGCGTAAAGATGAGCCAGCGAAATATTTAATAAATGAAACAAGTATACTTAGTAATACGAAAACTTGGACTAAAGAGTTATACGAGTATGGACGGAGCCCGCCAAAAGAATGTCAAAGTCATAAATAGTAGCGTCATTTTGCTGTTTATGCTACCATTCGATTTTGCCAGATGGTTTACTTTACGTTGGAAATTTTATATGGGCATTAGCCGTTAGCTTACAACTTTTAAGAAGAAAATATGAATGATAATAAAAATAATACTATAATATTATGTGCTTTTAAGCATTACTTATCTTTCCCTTGCGAAATAGATAACATAATATTAATTAACTTAAATTTTTTCTTCATAAAAAACCCGTTAGCCATTTTTATTTACTAAAATGTATTTACTTATCAATGTGGCTAGTATTCTATTATTATTTACCAATATAAGTAAGGCTTCTCCCGTTCGATGTTGACAGAGTTGATGGGGTCGAGGCGGAACCACGTAGTGAATGTGAACCCGTTCTCGTAGGGCCACCGTGCGAGCGGCGGCAGAACTATCGCCTGGAACAAGAAAATTCATATAATGAACATACACTCTATACTAATATAAAATTATACCTAGTGCAGCAATAGTTCGGTTAAATATTAAATTATATAAATGTGTATTTTTATGAATATATTTCAACTATTTATAAAGTGATTTCGAAATCTAATCTTTTTTATATCGCTGAAATGAATTTAACATAATATTCACATGCGGTTTAAAAACTCTTAATATTAACGGGATTAAAAGTATTTCCATTTTCTTTATTTATGTTCTTGTCCAAATCTGAAGTCATCATTTTATCTCAGTCAAAAGAAACGCGTGACAAATAAAAAATAACATTTGATGTATAAAAGTAGGCCTTCACCGTCCACTTCTCTAATAAATAAAACAGTCCCAAATACATATTCAGAGCGAACGTATAGCGCTGGCTAAATTCCAGAGAGCGCTGTAAAAATTTCACCCAACAAAGGTTCTAAGCCGAGGGTATCGTTGTAAAGAATTCTTTTCCTTATATCTTATCAATAAAATCTGCATACGTCCCTTTTTTACTATACGAAACTTTGATTTTATATATTTTTTCGATATATTTTCCGGCTGTACTGTTAAAATGTTGGCAAACAGAGCAAGTAATCAAGAGGACGCGTGGAGCCAAATTCGTTTCGAAAATATATGCATTTCACTATTTTATTTTTTCTCTATGACTCTAAACTTTTGCCATACGATTCTGTAAAACTGCACGTTTGTAAACTCTGTACATTAATATGATGCTACGGAGTATTATATATAAGACTTTATTAGAAAACTTTCATTTCAACTTCAACATTTGTTTAACAAAAATGTGCATCACTACGAACAATTTTAGTAGAGAAAGAAAATATAAATATTGCATCTTTACTCGTACTAAGCTTAGAAAAAAATTGATAACATCAAAACAAAATTTATTGCGTGTTCAAAATTAATTAAAGAAAATGTTTTAAAAGAAAACAATACCGAATGTGTATATTATTATATTACAAGACTTTTGCGATAAACAATAGCGTTCCCAAGGAGAGTTGAAGTCAGGCAGGCGGCCGGTCGTAAAACTTGTGCCATATTATTCTATAGTATAACAGTACAGAAGATGTACTGCGCCGACCCCAAGTGATTGGGAAATGGGCAGGGAGATGATGATGACTCGTACTAAGCTTGTCAACCCTTTTCACATCTTTAGATGTTGAATTACAAAAAATCTATCTACGTGATTAATTCCCTTGGTAATTAAACGAAGACGCTGTCATAACAGCTCGATAAGAACAGTGGTTTGGTCCCATCTGCATATATTACGATTATTAAATATTAGCGACTCACTCTCGCTTCGAGTTCGTCCCTATGTACTCGTATATATTTAATATACATATATAGCTTTACAATAATGTATAGAATTCTACCCGATTTGTTGACATTTATGGTTAGTGCTCCGCTCAATTTCATAATTGCATAATGATTTATAGCATATAGCCTTCCTCAATAAAGGGGCTATCTAATATAAAAAGAATTTTTCAAATCGGATTAGTAGTTTCTGAGATTAGAAAGTTCAAACAAACAAACAAACTCTGCCTCTTTATAGATAAGTAGTTTAAATTTCTTTTAATATTAAATATGCAAAACGATCTCTAAAAGGTTCAGAAATCCTACAGAACGCTACAATTTCTTGGGGAGCTTCCTATTAAGTACATGTCTTTTTTATGAAACACCGTCGTAACCTTACGCTTTGCATAATATCGGGCACGCGTTAACCCCATTTTTATTTTGACGAAAATTTATGTTAAAAGGATATTTATGCGGTGTTTATCGGCCACGCGGACGTGGAAATATGTTAGGCCCATGTGTCAAATAAATTTAACCGCGACATTAATGATCATATTTTATTAAATATCTTAACTCGTTCCTCGTTACCACATTTAATCTCATTTGAAATGATACCATTGCCTAATTTATGATTTTTAATCTCATTGAAATAGTCATTATTATCAATACAGATTACAGAGGTCGAATCTATAGTGTTTAGATTTTTTTGTCTATCTGTCTTTCTGTCTGTCTGTCTGGGAACGCATCACGAGAAAACTACAAAACAAATTTTGATCAAATTCGGTGTGATCATAGCTGGGTATCCGGGTCGACATATAGGAATATTTTACTGCGGGAAAATATCTCCTCTCTGAGAAATCTATACTAAATGTTAAAACATAATTAGGGACGAATCCCTAGAGGGTGAGTCGCTAGTGATTAGATACAGAAATAAGAATATAAGTACTTACGTACCTACTTTAAAATTAAAATAAATACCTATTTTAAAGTATAACTCATAATAAAAAAAACATAGTTAAGTGTTTAGAAACATAATTTGTTGCTAAAATTTACTTGTAGATATTATAAAAGTTATAAAATTAGAATATGTAAAAATATCCAATAGTAATAAACTTTTATATTTATATACCTTACTTCTAACATTAATTATAATACAGAGACCAGACAACCTTCAGACAATGAGCCTTTTCTAACTGTATCGAAATTCTTCAGAGCCTACTATAAATAAGAGCCTACTAAAAACAAACGCTTTTGCGATATCCGTTTAAAAATGGCGAATTGAGATAAAATATCAACGATCCCGGGGCACTATTTATTTCCATAGCCCGGGATAAACTATCGAGTGGCGTTTAATCTTCCCGCGGGACCTTATGTAAGACACATCGCTCCACATCCTCTTTGCGTTACGATTCCAGGGACATTAAAGTAATATATTACCCAAGATAGGCGTTATATCTGTAAGAGATAAACAGTTAAACAATCATCATTTCTATAGTGATAAAAAGTATATATCAATTTTATCTTAATAGAAAACAACAGTGTCTCTAAAAGTACCATTCTATTATTTTTTACTTTGGAATAAACTTAAATATCCAGCCGTATTTTTTTCAATTTCTCTCCTATGTACATAAATTGTGGCACTCTACTTGATGGTAAACAAAAGCGCTTCTTCGTCAGGAAACATTTCGGGGGTGGTTTTTGTTCGGAGATTTCAAAGTTGCTGCGGCTTGTTTATTTTCTCGGCAAATATTGTCTTAAGCAGTGAATCTTCGGCATCACATTAAAGCACTTACACAACGTCTGTACAAAGTGCTTAATTCTACACTCTAATCTAGTTTTGTTTTGACAGTGTTATTGCTATAAAATTTAATTAGCAACAAAATAATAATTAACGTTGAAACAACAAAGATAGATTATAGAATTTTCCTTTCCAAATATAGATACCTCTCCGACGTTCAACTTCCACTGAATTCTGCCAATATGTAGCCATTGCTTACGTCATTTCTACAATTCTACAATTTGAATATAAGCTACATCTACTAAATTCGTAGGAACAACAATTTAACTACAATCTACTTTTTATTCCAGCGTATTCTCTGATCGGCTTTAAATTGGCAAATGCCCAGAATCGATATAGTTGAGCAAAACGCAGTGCACAATTCAATAAAGTTTCGTCCGTGCCGCCATTAGCATGAAGGCGCCATTAGTGAGCTCGCTCTTTTCGATTAAACTGAGTCGCAATGAGATACAGAGATGTTTTGTACTTAACGGTCCTTCGAGCTCGAGTGGTGATGAAGCCTGGATTTATTTCATTTAAAAACCCATCTAGAAATACTATCAGCCGCTGACGTTTGGATTGCTCAAATGTTATGATAAAAGATTCCATTGGGAAATAAATCCGACTTTAGAGTCCGTGCAGTCCGAATCCTCAGCGGAGTGAAATTCAATTTCATTTATCTTGTCTTCATTTGCTACTAGATTTACAAAACTATTACATCTCTGTTAATATGAATGTTATTTAGATTGAGTTTTTATACCTATACTAATATTACTTTTGTTGGTATATTTGTATTGAATAAGCTCCGAAACTACTGAACCGATTTAGATGAAAGATAAAAAGATAGTTTGAGACTCTAGGAAGGACATAAAATAGTTTTTATCTCGGAAAATATCCCTCAAAGGGATGAAAATGGGGATGAAAGTTTGTATAGAGAAGCAAATATAGTCAGTCTAGTTTGCAACTTTCATTTTTTACATTATATTATGTAATATTTGAAAATAAATTTATACAAGAACTTAGATCTACACAAGAAAAACTACCAATTTTTCTTTAAATGATGATATACGTAGCTTGTTACATTTATTTGCTTTAGTAAAAGAAATACCCTAAAATCTAAAGGACAAATATAATTCATGGTTGACCTCAATGTTTAAATGCAAAAACCCTGACACGCCCACAAACACAGTCGGCGATTTGGATTAGCGCACATATTTCATCCATGTAACTTAGTATTACGGCGGGGATAAGATGCGTCAGTTGGCCGTCAGATCTACGGATAAAGTAGACAGAGAGAAATGGTGGCACGGGGACGATAAATAAGGAAAAAATAGACAAGCTTAAAGCTACACTACCTACTCACTTGTGAGAAGCTTTTTAAGTTTTTCGAAGAACTCAACTAAAATACGCAACAATGTATGTTAATAACGTACGTTATAATATATCTTGCTAAAATTTTAAATAAGAAATTGTGTGTGTTCGTCTTAGAATGTTTGAATGGACTTTACTTTCTTTTAGGATGTAACGTAGCAACTGGCTGGCATGATTTTAACGGAACTAGAGTAAATGACGTACGAATTATAGGGCTCGAGAGAGAATCGAGGACGGATGAATAGGTATTTAATAAAACTAATATTTTATTAAGCCTATTAATTACATTTTGTATAGCAAAAAGTCAAAATATGTATAAAACTACACGAAATATTTATTATATAAAAGTTTCGCGAATATATGAAATAGATAAGAGAATACTAAAACATCGACGCAACACGTAAAAACAAACGGTCTCTCAGCACTTATTTTATATGGATATGGATCTCTAAATTAAACCGGACATGAAGAAAGCCCAGCGTGTCAGGATTACATCCGGCCGTCCGTATTTGAATAAGA